CATTTTAAACCTATTGACATATTAACAGTGCCTTTTCCTTAATCGACAGACAGTATCATAAGGTTTCACATATGGACGTATATAATGTTACATTTCATATTGTCGTCGGGTAGTTCCATAAAGTTAAATCTATGGACGTTTTAACGTCACGTTTTGTCCTTATATATTTTAATATTTATTCTCCATCTTGTCCGCAGAGATGATTAATGTTAAATCTGATGACATTTTAAACTTTACATTTCCCATCTTGTCGCTATAAATGTTAAGATTACAGTTCCTTTATCATTGTTGAAACAGATATTGTTAATCCTATGGACATTTTTAACAGTGCATTTCTCATCTTGTCCCCATATCGATCGATTTGACAATTTCACATAGATTTAACACCAATTAATGCTTTTTTCCAATATATCATCTTATTAGCCCATTCTAAGCATGTATAGCAACACTGAAGGTTAATGATAAAAAGAAATTAGGTTTAATCTTGTCGCTATAAGTTTTCGCAATGTTATATTTCCATTCGCGCCATATCCCACAACTATACCACCCATATATTATTTTAATATTTTCCTCAAAATATCTTTTGCTACGACCCTGTAGTTGAATTGTGTGTTGGTGTGTTAAGGAATGAGTTCAGTATAAATCTTTTTATTTCATTTTTATACAATTAATATGTAGTTCTTCTTCTTCTTCTTCTTCTTCTTCTTCTTCTTCTTCTTCTTCTTCTTCTTATTATTATTATTATTATTATTATTATTATTATTATTATTATTATTATTATTATTATTATTATTATTTCTGTTATTATTTTCGCCTTTCGTGGCCCCTCACCACAGTTGTTGTCAACTGTCAAATAATTCTACTTTTATCCTCTTTTTATCGATACATATCGTGATCAAAGTATTATTTTATAAAATTGCCACACTCCTACTATTATGGTATATAAAAATCGTCTTGTATCGACTCCTCCACATATTGTATGCTTTCCCGTACATAATGTAAACGTTCATTCTATTTGGAAGACGACCAGTTTTGTAACAATATTCTTATACGACAGAGTATAAATATGTCTGTATCATATAATTGATCGAAAATACCCATATCAAATTCAGCAAACAAATGCACATCAACACGTATGCAAAAAGACGGAAAAGTCGGCTGGAGTATTTGCGGTCAATAAGTACATTGCGTCTAATTCCTAGTAAATATATTGAGCTACATTATATTTGGTGGTAAACTATATATATATATATATATATATATATATATATATATATATATATATATATATATATATATATATATCCACGTAGTCGCATTACATTTCCTAGTAAACAACTGGCTTCATGTAACTGGGAAAAGACTGATCAACGAACCCATTCAATTCTGTTATATATTGAGTACAGATAACAAATCTCATATTGCAAGAGAGTCGAGATAGGGTCAGCGAGGTATACAGATTTTAACACGGGCTGCATATTTGCGATAGCTGTAAACACTATAATATATTATGAATGCAGCAAACAAGGCGGTTACATAATAAATATCGTTTGACTACGGGCGCTCATTAGCAATTGCTTGTTGGTATTCGAAGGCGAAGCCATTTTCTTTTAATGAGAGAATTATTATGTTTTTTTAAATTCTAAGATGAATTGCTTCACACAGAGGATACATGCCTCGTGCTCGTTTGTTAAAAATATTCCTTTGCTGTAAAAAAAAAGTGATATTTATATGATGGTTTAGAAGTCAACTAGGAAACATGTGTATACATCGCTAAAACCAAAATTTGAAGAAAACAAGAACAGGATAGGATTTATTTATCGGGTCGTCTGTTTTGTTTAACCTTCTTACAAACGTAATGGAGGAAAGTTTGACATAAACTTCATTTTTAGCTACAGTGGTCATGTATGAGAAGAGCTTTTGAGATGATCTAGTGTCCATCGTCCGTCAGTCGGTAAACATGGTCTAGTACCCTTCGTCCGTCAGTCGGTAGACATGGTCTAGTCTCCATCGTCCGTCAGTTGGTAGACATGGTCTAGTGCCCTTCGTCCGTCAGTCGGTAGACCTGGTTTAGTGTCCTTCGTCCGTCAGTCGGTAGACATGGTCAAGTGTCCATCGTCCGTCAGTCGGTAGACATGGTCTAGTGCCCTTCGTCCGTCAGTCGGTAGACCTGGTCTAGTGTCCTTCATCCGTCAGTCGGTAGACATGGTCTAGTGCCCTTCGTCCGTCTGTCAGTATGAGATGGTCTAGTGTCCATCGTCCGTCAGTCGATATGAAACGGTCTAGTGTCCTTCGTCCGTCAGTCGGTATGATATGGTCTAGTGTTCATCGTTCGTCAGTCTGTATGAGATGATCTAGTATCCGTCGTCCGTCAATCGGTTAGCACAAGTATATTATCGCAACTTGTCCTTAATCACATGGATAATTGCCTTCAAACTTTACACTGCCATTCATACAGTTACCTGGATGTTGATTTTGTTGTTGATGTTGTTGGTTTAATATATATGTTCAACATGATAAGCTAAACATGTCATCCAGTTTAACTAGTGGAAGAAAAATTCGGGAAAAACTTCCCACATCGATCGAGCCCGAGACTAAAACCCACGCAGACAGAAGTGAGATGGTAGTGATCGGTAAAGGGGAGCACTTTTGACCACTCTACAGCCAGGGTTTCCCTTGTTTTTGTTGGTCATAAATGAAAATGGTACTGTTCGGAGATCCTGTATGGCTGCTACATCGGAAATGATGGTCGTGCCAGCATGGGTTTACAGTAATACTTCTTATACAATGGCACTATAAAAATTTCGAAAGAAACATTTGGGGGTTTACATGACTGATATGCTAATGAATAGGTTGGATATCTCATCTCAGGAGTAAACGTGGTTGTCTCAGGTTCTGGAAGCGTGGGGTTTTTGGGGGTGGGTGGGTTGGAGTAGGCATCCTTATCTTCGTTCTGGATACGAAGTTATCTACCCGAGCGATTTGAGAATTTCGACATGATGGAAGCAGCGTCCATAAATCACATAGGAAAAGTCATATTAGAAGTCAGACAGTCTTTATAGTTATTTTATTTTTGGGAGATGAAATATTTGGAGTAAACTGTTATTCTTGCAAAAAGATAACTATAATAAGACAGATATACCTTCCAAAATATATCTGCCAATACATACATGCACGCACTCACACACACACACACACACACACACACACACACACACACACACACACGTGTATACTTACTTACCTACATACCTCCATAAATTTGCTTGTTGGCTCGAGAATGTAGACTGTGTACTGTCAGAATAGGCTAAAGATGGAAGCAAGGGCTGCAATAGTTAGCCAGCCACGCGGAATCGAGGAAATTTTGGTTCGAATCCTACGATCGGATCAGACATATCTGTTGCCATGGATACTCCTTACGCGAAGTACTTTATTCTAATTGTTTTAGAGTAAATACTTTTAATTATATGGGGCAAAATACCAAACAGAGCCTAATACTCAAAATAATGTCTTTCAAAATGCTTAAATATATATCGCGGAGGTACCCTAATGTACTTTTTCCACAAATAAATGTATGATTTCAACATGTTTACAAATGCGATTTGCGTGTTATTATATGTTATATGGTCACGATAATGAGGACAATGCTCCTATTAGCAGAGTCGGTAGAAAAACAGAAAAGACATAAGTTTCGAGATCAAACCCAAGGCAGATATTATTTTCTGTCTTTTTTATTAGGTCAGAACGCTATCAACTTATTCACATAACTTTCCAGAATCCGTCCTTTTCATAGCTAAAGAGAATACAGAAAAAGCAATAATGCGATTTATTAGCAACTTTTCTTCGTCTGGTTATAAATTATTTGTAGCCTTATAACATGTTTTTAGGTGATAACGTCTCTGCATTTTCGAATCATAGACACGTCAGCCTATGCGAGCATTCATGTAGTGAGTTAAGTGGAGGACGTTTTATTATTACGTACCTTGTCCTTATTCTTACAAAAGGCACAAACCCGACTAAGACGTTTTACATTTATATTAAAGTTTGTGTGAATAATGTGTGACAAGTTTTTGTTCAGTAGCTGTTTACGGTGAACTTTGAAGAATTCCACTTGAATGCATTTGATTAGTAGTCAAGCATTGATACACAGTTAAAAATTACTATATCAAGTAAACTTTACAGAGAATGCGAATCAATATTATTACTTGAGCAACATTTCTGAAAAAAAAAAATACTTTGAACATGTATGGGTTTAGTGAAGTTCGTCTGTAGTTTCACAATTTTCTAACATGTAACTTGCTCCGATTTTGTTTCGACAAAAATTTAACGAAGGGTTAAACATGACAGTCGTCTTGAGCATAACTTTTTATTCTTATGTAACCACAAATAAATCGGCTTTGACAAAATTTCCAGTGTTTTCTCATTATTGTTAATTAAGACTTGGATACCGAAAGCAATATATATATATAGAGAGAGAGATGAAGGTTATTGTGTGTTATGTGATGGTCACTCTATTAAAGATGAATGTCATTCTCCACGAGCTTATATAACACCGATTCAGTGCCATCATTTCTTGGTGATGCGTGCTTAGTCGTGACGATATATGGGCTGGTACGTGCAGGCAAGGCGATGGGTGCCATCTACTCGCGGACCTGGGTTCGAAACTCGGTAGAGTACGAATTTAATTTCTCTAACCTGTATGATAGTATTGTTTGTATATATATATATATATATATATATATATATATATATATATATATATATATATATATCAAACTCAATTTAAAACGCAAGTGTATTTTAGGATGAAACCATCCATATATAGGTGCATTTGGTTGTTAAAGTATGCTTATAATGTATCAATATAAAAATTAACTTAATTTAAATTAGTCAATTATTTCAAAGAAATTAATATTATTCGATTATCTTAATATGTAGATGTCCGTTAATCCTCTCATATCACTTCGTGCTGATCACGTTTTCTGAGCTTGAACCGCTCCGGTGGTCTAGTGTGTTAGAGCGTCCGCCTCGGATGCGGGAGGTCGTGGGTTCGATCCCTGGGGTCACACCAAAGACTTACAAACATGGTACTAACAGCTGCCTTGCTTGACTCTCAGCATTAAGAAGTTAGTATTATGACTGGTGTGTGTTTGTAATTTGTAACGTAGCTTTAACAATTTTTCAGTCATATCGCTACGATGTCTGCAGTGTGGCAGTTTATAGTGATGTTTAGGACTTGGGCATCATGCCGCAGACATGTAGCATGATGTTCCACCCAGTCACATTATCCTGACACCAGGCCGACCAGTCCTAACACTAACCTCTTAATGCTGAAGCGAGGCAGCTGTTAGTACCATTTTTGTAAGTCTTTGGTATGACTCGACCGGGGATCGAATCCACGACCGCCCGCATCCGAGGCGGACTCTCTAACTACTAGGCCACCGAAGCGGTTTGTTAGGACTGGTCGATTTGGTGTCAGGATAATGTGACTAGGTGGAACATCATGCTACAAGTCTGCAACATGATGCCTCAGTGCCAGATATCACTCTAAACTGCCACACTGCAGACATCGTAACGATATGACTGAAAATGTTTTAAAGCTACGTTAAAATCATAATCACATCACATAATCACACACATAACTTTTCTGAGTTTGCATGTACAATGCACCACTATACATGCTATTCGTTAGTTGGCATTACATACCAATGAAGGAAACTCGTGAAATCCAAAGAGATGTCGCTAGTGCAAAGCACTCAACTATCTGATGAATCCAGCAAAGCATAAAGTTAACATATCCGAATCTAGCGAAGATGACATGTCAGTGTTCATGGGAATAAACTGTATGTATGATATTCCATAACCAAAACAATGTCGACAACATTTGCTCTATAATGACACCAGTGTCCGTGAGTACTAACTCTACGCATAACACCTCATACCAAAACTATCTGTTAAGTATACAATGCTAGAGCTCAGGGGAATAATCTATAAGAATGACAGCTGATAACCACTCGAAATATACAGTGTGTATTCAATAAACAGTCACAAGAGTCTAGGTATGTGAGAAAGATTGCCAGCAGTTTTTCGTGGGTTGTTGTTTCTTCCCGCGGTTCGTTTAGGTTCATTCTGTCAGATACAATGAAATCGATGTATAGACTATCATAAGGTGAAATACGGTAACAATCCCACACAAGGTGTGCCAGTTTGATACCGAGTAGATGCAAAACAACATTCGTATTCAAGTCTTGTTACAGTTACCCTTCCTGAATGGATTGTCGTACCAACATAGGGGTTTTACTAATATACTTCTTACAACTTCTAGCAGGGCTTTTATAAAAATCGGGCCGATCTGATATTTAAATTGGCCACATTAGTGTTTTGCCATATAATTATTTCCATTCATTCAAACTGTATTACCTTGTAGTACAAAATAAATCGCAACAAACATGGTAAATTCAAAGACAGTGGACTGGAAAACGTTGTGTAATTAGGTTAACTTCATAAATTCGTATCAATTTTTGGTGGGGAGTGAACGTCATTTTCGCTGAATACACACAAATAATACAGTGATCAGAAGTGAGAAAGCCTACTCAAGGCCAATTCAATGAATTTTCTCCCTTAAGAAGCCAATTTTCAAAGCTACACCTCAGATTTTAAAGAGGCAAACCATTTTAAAAGATTTTAATTTTATAAACACTTTGTAAAAGGTCACCCCCATGGAAGGAGCGGGAAACATGTAGTGGTCAGCTATCAAATTTTATGGTACTTATATGCGGGCGCCCATGATAGTTGGTTCTAAACTGAAAATGATGCCGATTTTATTTCAAGTACAATTGTCCTGTTTTAAAATAGGATTGTTGTATCAGTCACTAATGAAAGGTTAAATATAAACATCTACAACTCAAACTCATAGAAGGAATTATTTAATTAGGTTGAGATTCAATATTGTTCCAAATCAAGGAAATATCTTATTTGTTTCTGCACCTCCATTTATATCTTTGTAGTGATTATTGCTATATGGAGATATTTCTATACGAGGATATAGGGGATATTTCTATATGGTGATATAGGGGATATTTCTATATGGGGATATTGGGGATATTTCTATATGGGATATTGGGGATATTTCTATATGGGGATATTTCTATATTGAGGATATAGGGGATATTTCTATATGGGGATATTTCTATATGGGGATATTGGTGGATATTTCTATACGGGGATATTTCTATATGGGGATATTTCTTCAACCGAATAATTAGCTATTTGCTAGTATAAGTCTTCCTAATGTACACTATTCATTAAACTTGACGGTAGCAGTTTCATAGACGCTCGCAAATTTCTTAATATAAAGAATGTCCTGTTTTTTTTCTTCACATGTATCGTGTATACTCGCTTATAAGGCGAGTAATTTTGATCTGCTGTAGCAAATTTGCCTGCAGATCAGTTTGCTCCTAACAAACAACACAGACCCAGATCTGCCGATGTATTATGCGACGGCCGATCTGGGTCTGTGCAATGTGCAGATGGACTTGTCGTATAAACGAGCGTATAACTTAATTTATTTTGGTTATCTGGGATAAGAATATTTCTGTGTATTAGGTGTTTTATTCAGTTGTACGTGACAGGAAATACCGATTTACGGTTTAGTAAAGCAGACAAATACATCATACAAAATGTGAAGCAATAACACAGACATGCACACGCACATGCAATTGTGAAATTAAAGTCTCGTGAATGTGCGGTCGTTTTTTGTTTAAAGCAAAAATTATTTGCGATATTAGCGCGATTAATAACCCTACAGCTGACAACGTCTATTGTCATAATGCCATTTTAAATAGGGAAAACAACCTCCAACCAGCCTCATTGATAACTTATATTGTCTTAAGTTCTTTGTAAAAAGAAAAACATCAGCATCAAACCACCCTCACTGGCAAAGACTATTGTCACATTGTCTTTGGGGGCAGGGGCCAGTTTTATGTACAAATTTAATGCCGCAATTAGTGACCTAGTACAAAAAAAATCATAAAAAAAATACATAAGTGAGGTTGAGAAGGTCCATATTTTTAGATACTTATATTAAAACAAAACATAAGAATATTATCCACTTAACCAGAGAGGTCAGTGGCAGTTCATAGCAGAAGAAGTTTATGCACCCCAACCCTTTAATGTATACCCGCAATTTTCATGTCCGAATGTCATTTTTACAACATGTGGTGCTCACAGTGCAAACATAAGCCCTTTTCCTAGATGACAATTCTGCCAAACAGTATGTACTAAACAGGCTGATGCAGTTGAAATTAGTTGTCATCCAAGCCGTTTTGAGATATTCTACTTTCCCCAAACCCATGTGTTTACTGCAGGCTATCTGGGTTGTGGGGCTTTCTGCCTGTATCTGGGTGTGGAATGTCAAGGTCTTAAGGTCAAGTACGAGCGAAAAGACCCAGCCCTGGGTCAAGTCCCTCCGAGTGGATCCGGGCCGATGGCTAACCACAAGGACGGGTATTGGAGGTCCACCCTTCGGGTGGGTCCTCTGGCCCCTTATGAAAATAAGGGGCTCCAAACGTCGTCAAGCAAACGTACATGCGCATACGACTATAATTGCCATTATCATCATCTCTTCTTCCTAGCCCACTATTGGTATTTCACTATCAACATACTGCAGAGTAACTATGGAAGGTGTACATGACTGACATCAATTTGAAGAACAACACAAGCCCAAAACACATAGTTCACAAATATATTCATATATTTCATTAGTAAACAATAGTAGCTGAAAAAAAATCACACCATAGATTGAAGTTCAGAAATTTTCCAAGGGCTTATTTATGAAACTGTACCCCCTGCCACCTTTGGAAATAGGGAAAACATCAGCCTCAAACCAGCCTCAATCAAGCACGGCGTTCGACATCCATTACATATTACTCCATGCACGACTAGATATCAGCTCTCAGTTCATCTATTCACGTTTTGTACTGAATTGCTCTTTGAGGTAAAGCACGGTGATCATTAGCGTAGGAAATGTTGCCTTAAGAGATCTCCATTGAAGATAACATCAGTGATACATTTTAATTGATGGAGAAATGTATGCTGGTTGTATCGAGCCCTGTTGTTAATGTACGTATTACCGTTTCAAACAGACACGTTTGATGGTTTGGGAGGTATGTATTTACGACAAGTTTGAAATTTTATTTTTAGACAAGCTGTTTTATGTCTGCTTATTATCAAATCTGGCTGAAATATATTTAGTCTTTATAGAACATACTTTGAATCTGGGTGTTAAGTCTTATCATCTGACGCTATTACTGCAAAAAAATATTATTTCAGAAAACTGTATTTTCGAAAGGCATCTGTACAGGTCATGGGCGTTAATAAGGTTTAATTTGTACGAATGCAGGATGATTTATTTGCATGACATGCTTAACAACAAGAAAGTTACTCTGTACGCTGTCTTAGTTGATAATTAGAGCATCAGTTATTCATACTAAGTGATTGAAACATGATGACAATTTAAATTAAGAAGTAAAGGTAGAAAGAGACAATTCGTATTTTTATGATGATTCATTGTTGAATGTGCTCCGATACATAAACTATTTAAAGGTAACGATTATAATCGTTTATAAATTGAGTCAAACTACAAAAACAAACTGATCTGCCGTGGCATAATGTGCCTGTTGATCAGGGTCTATGCTGTTTGTTCTCCTGATTACTCCCAAGAAAATCTACAGACCCAGATTTGCTGGCGCATTACGCTACCGGATTTACCTCAACCATTTTCATCAACTCCCAAAACTTTTCGTTTATTTGTATGCTCTATGTGGTGAATAAAATAATTTATACCAAAATTTTAAAACAAAAAAATGACTTGATTTTATATATATATATATATATATATATATATATATATATATATATATATATATATATATATATATATATATATATATATATATAGTGTGTGTGTGTGTGTGTGTGGTTATGTTTGACTAAATGGTTTCGCCGGTTTCGCCGCATCAGGTAGAACTTGCAGAGGATCTAAGGTCATTTTCATTTGATGCATCCATAGTT